TGGCATTACAGGTGTGAGCCACTGCCCCCCGCCCCAGCCCTCTTTCTTAAATTAGCAATGCATATGAATGCAGAGCAGCATCTTTGCAACTAAAAACCGAAAGTATATTTGAAAATTACTCTTCAGTTGGTTTATTTTGTGATTTGTCATTTGCACAGACACCATTTGGTCACATATCATTACAGAATGGAACTGGTTAGTCTATGTTTTCCTCATTTCCACAGTATTTATTTTACAGATTTGCTTGGGAAAAATTGCTTTCACTCCATTTTCAACTTTGAAAGCAAAGAGTTCAACTAGGGCTTTGAATTAATTTTGTCTGATTCCTGCTTGCTTATAATATTTACATTATTATTATTATTATTATTTTTTTTTTTTTTGAGACGGAGTTTCACTCTTGTTACCCAGGCTGGAGTGCAATGGCGCGATCTCGGCTCACCGCAACCTCCGCCTCCTGGGTTCAGGCAATTCTCCTGCCTCAGCCTCCTGAGTAGCTGGGATTACAGGCACGCGCCACCATGCCCAGCTAATTTTTTGTAGTTTTAGTAGAGACGGGGTTTCACCATGTTGACCAGGATGGTCTCGATCCCTTGACCTCGTGATCCACCCGCCTCGGCCTCCCAAAGTGCTGGGATTACAGGCGTGAGCCACGGCGCCCGGCTATTTTTTTTTTTTTGAGACGGAGTTTTGCTGTTGTTGCCCAGGCTGGAGTGCAATGGCCCAATCTCGGCTCACCGCAACCTCCACCTCCTGGGTTCAGGCAATTCTCCTGCCTCAGCCTCCTGAGTAGCTGGGATTACAGGCACGCGCCACCATGCCCAGCTAATTTTTTGTAGTTTTAGTAGAGACGGGGTTTCACCATGTTGACCAGGATGGTCTCGATCCCTTGACCTCGTGATCCACCCGCCTTGGCCTCCCAAAGTGCTGGGATTACAGGCGTGAGCCACGGCGCCCGGCCCATTATTATTATTTTTTAAGACGGAGTTTCACTCTTGTTGCCCAGGCTGGAGGGCAATGGCGCAATCTCAGCTCACGGCAACCTCTGCCTCCCGGGTTCAATCGATTCTCCTGTCTTAGTCTCCCAAGTAGCTGGGACTATAGAGATGTACCACCACAACCAGCTAATTTTGTATTTTTAGTAGAGACGGGGTTTCCCCATTTTGGTCAGGCTGGTCACAAACTCCCGACCTCAGGTGACCCACCCGCCTCGGCCTCCCAAAGTGCTGGGATTACAGGCGTGAGCCACTACGCCTGGCCAATCTTTACATTATCTTAAAAACAGTATTACTGCCGGGCGAGGTGACTCATACCTGTAATCCCAGCACTTTGGGAGGCCGAGGTGGGCAGATCATGAGGTCAGGAGCTTGAGGCCAGCCTGATCAACATGGGGAAACCCTGTCTCTACTAAAAATACAACAATTAGCCAGGCGTTGTGGCGCATGCCTGTAATCCCAGCTACTCCGGAGACTGAGGCAGTAGAATCGCTTGAACCTGGGAAGCACAGGTTTCAGTGAGCCAAGATCACGCCACTGCACTCCAGCCTCGAGGTGACAGAGCAAGACTCTGTCTCAAAGAAAAAAAAAAAAAGAATTAAAGAAAAACCACTTTTTGGGTTCTCCAGTGCAAAAAAAATAAAATAAAATAAGAAAAAACACTATTATTTTGATTTTTTGTTTTTCATTTTTTGTTTTTTTGAGATGGACTTTTGCTCTTGTTCCTCAGACTGGAGTGCAATGATGTGATCTTGGCTCACTGCAATCTCTGCCTCCCGGTTTCAAGTGATTCTTCTGCCTCAGCCTCCTGAGCAGTTGGAATTACAGGCACCTGTCACCACACTTGACTAATTTTTTTGTATTTTTAGTAGAGATGGGATTTCACAGTATTTATTTGTGTGTAAATACAGTATTTATTCACAGTATTTATTTTTCACAGATTTACTTGTGAAAAATTGCTTTCACTTCATTTGAAAAATTCATTTCACTTCATTATTAGAGATGGGGTTTCACCATGTTGGTCAGGCTGGTCTTGAACTCCTGACCTCGTGATTTGCCTGCCTCGGCCTCCCCAAGTGCTGGGATTACAGGCATAAGCCACCATGTCTGGTCTCCTCTTTCACTCTTTTTCCAAACTTTTTATTAATGTACTTATTTTACCAATTTGAATTACATATAAAAATGGAAAGACTAGCCGGGCGCGGTGGCTCAAGCCTGTAATCCCAGCACTTTGGGAGGCCGAGGCGGGTGGATCACGAGGTAAAGAGATCAAGACCATCCTGGTCAACATGGTGAAGCCCCGTCTCTACTAAAACTACAAAAAATTAGCTGGGCATGGTGGCGCATGCCTGTAGTCCCAGCTACTCAGGAGGCTGAGGCAGGAGAATTGCCTGAACCCAGGAGGCGGAGGTTGCGGTGAGCCGAGATCGGGCCATTGCACTCCAGCCTGGGTAACAAGAGCTAAACTCCGTCTCAAAAAAAAGAAAAAAAATGGAAAGACTAATATGACCATGCCATATATGCTTTACCTAAATTTAACAATTGTTAACATTTACCTAAGTAAAATATTAATGTTAACAATTGCTAAATTTAGGCAAAACATATATGTGTGCGTACATACATAGTAAACAGGGTGAAATATATGTATATTTAAAACACACACATATGGGCTGGGCACAATGTCTGAAGCCTGTAATAGCTCTTTGAAAGGCTGAGATGGGTGGATCGCTGGAGATCAGGAGTTTGAGGTCAGCTTAGCCAACATGGTGAAACCCTGTCTCTACTAAAAATACAAAAAATTAGCTGGGCGTGGTGGCTGGCGCCCGTAATCCCAGCTATTTGGGAGGCTAAGGCAAGAGAATCGCTTAACCCCAGAGGCAAAGGTTTCAGTGAGCTGAGATTGCGCCACTTCACTCCACCCTGGACGACAGAACGAGACGCTAAGAAAAAAACAAAACAAAACAAAACAACAACAAAACCACACAATACATATATAGCTTTTCTTCTTTTTTTGAGATAGGATTTCACTCTTATTGCCCAGGCTGGAGTGCAATGGTGCAATCTTGGCTCACTGCAGCCTCTGCCCCCCAGGTTCAAGTGATTCTCCTGCCTCAGCCTCCTGAGTAGCTGAGATTACAGGCGCCCAAAACCACTCCTGGCTAATTTTTGTATTTTTAGTAGAGATGAGGTTTCACCATGTTGGCCAGGCTGGTCAGCTTGAACTCCTGACCTGAAGTCATCTGCCCGCCTCCGCCTCCCAATCTGCTGGGATTACAGAAGTGAGCCACTGCACCCTGCCTCAGAGGTCATTGCTATAGGTTGTTACAAATATTGGGTTGGAGCAGGTGAGTTTCTTGAACACAATACACTGAAAATTCCTGCGTTGACCTTGGGAAATTATACTAAAGTCACATGGGTTGTCACTAATGTTTCTGGGAGATAAGGGCAGCAACTAGTGAAAAAGAAGCCTTTCAAAGGATTAAGGAAATGGTTTAAATTAGTACTTATGCAACACTGGAAATTCCTCACTATTGCTAAATAAGCATATTTTAGGAAAAAAGTAAATCCACTTTGTGATTTATTCTTTGAGTAAAACTGTTATTCTTTTTCTTTTGTTTCTCCTTTAGTTTTAGGTTACTGATGCTTCTCTAGAGACAGTGAATAAATTCACATTAGAGTGGAAGGAACTAGAGAGCAGCCAGCACCAGCCATGCCTGGGCCAGGACCTGTGCCATGGCGTTGCTCTCAGATGCTGCTGATATCACTGATATTTTCAGGGGTATCCTGGAGAGGGGTTCCCTGCCTCTGCCCAGGAAGAAACTTCCGGGATTCCTGCCTCAGCCAGGCACTCTGATCCGTGTGTATCCAGGTTCCGGGAGTTGCAGAAATGCCACCAGGATCTGAAGAGCACATTGCAAGACAAGGAGAGCTGGGAGGACTCAGACCCTGACCTCGTCCCAAAGCGAAAACCAATCCTGCCAAAGTGAATGCATTTTCTGTCCCTGAAGGCAGACTTGAGACCCCTAGCTTCAGGGTGGCTTCTGCCTGACTTCCAGAGCTCCAGCCAGTGCCTTGTCTGAAACCTCCATGTCCGGGACCCTCAGGCGGAGAAGGATCTGCCAGACTCTGCTTGGGGCTGGGCTCTGGGAGCCCTCAAATTGACACCCCAGAAAGCAAATAAAACAGTCTAAATATGTCACACACACAAAATTAAAAGAGCTGAAGCAACCACTCGATGGCAATTTTTTTCTTGTATCTTTCTAGCTTTGTACAATTGGTCACACTTCATCTCTTTTGGTTCCTCCAAAAGAGCTGCCACCACTATTGGCTTTCTCTCTGTTTTTCTTCCTAGTCTCCACTTTTTTGGGAGTATGATTAAACAGATGCATTCTGTTTCCCTTATTCTGATGAAACGTATTGCTGATGGCCTATCTGGCCACACTGCCCTCTTAATTGTTCTCAAAGGTTGCTCCTTAGTAATCACCACAATTTGCCACCTCTCCCTTGGAGTGCAACTGTTAGAACTGATTGAAGGGGTCCCAAAGGAATGCTCTGAATTTGTTAGCAATTGCTTTGATTCCTTATTAAACTTGATGTATGTTCAAGGTCTCTGATTTTCATACAAATCATAGAACTATGTAGATAAAAAGTTGTGTGATTTCTTTGGCAGCACTTAACCGTAGTGTGATCAATAGCTGTTCTTTAGGCTGGGCACAGTAGCTCATGCCTGTAATTCTAGAACTTTGGGAGACTGAGTCGGGTGGATCACTTGAGGTGAGGAGTTCAAGACCAGTCTGGCCAACATAGTGAAACCCTGTCCCTACAAAAAAAATACAAAAATTAGCAGGGCATGGTGGTGGATGTCTGTAAAACAAGGTATTGGGGAGGCTGAGGCAGGAGAATCACTTGAACCCGGGAAGTAGAGTCTGCAGTGAGCGGAAATCACACTATTGCACTCCATCCTGGGCAATAGAGCAAGACTCTGTCTCAGTAATCATCATAATAATAAGCTTTGCGCACCGGCAGTATTGCAGCCAATGAGGTTTATCCGAGGTGCAATTATTGAAAACTTTTTCCAATACCCCGCCATGACAACTTGAAATATAGTTGGCATTGGCAATTTTTTGCAGTCTCTACAGGGACTGAATCATAAAATAATAATAATAATAATAATAGCCAGGCACTCTGGCTCACACCTGTAATCCCAGCTCTTAGAGAGGCAGAGGCAGGAGGATAGCTTGAGCCCAGGAGTTTGAGACCTGCCTGGGCAATACAGTGAGACCCCATTCTCCACAAAAAGGAAAAAAACAAAAAGAAAAAAAAAAGCATAATAATAAATATGACTTGTATGGAAGAAAATATAAGTTAGAAGGGAAGGCCAGGCACGGTGGCTCACACCTGTAATCCCGGCACTTTGGGACACTAAGGCAGGTAGATCACCTAAGGTCAGGAGTTCAAGACCAGCCAGGCCAACGTGGTAAAACCCGGTCTCTCCTAAATACACAAAATTTAGCTTGGAATGGTGGTGCACGCCTGTAGTCCCAGCTACTCAAGAAGCTGAGGCAGGAGAATCTCTTGAGCCCAGGAGCTGGAAGTTGCAGTGAGCTGAGATCATAATACTGCACTCCAGCCTGGGTGACACAGCAAGATTCTGTCAAAAAAAANAAAAAAAAAAAAAAAAAAAAAAAAAAAAAAAAAAAAAAAAAAAAAAAAAAACAAGGGATGAAAATGTGGGAAGAAAAACATGGGAATTTGTTAGGATGGAGAGGGAGATGGCAAAAGTGTGCCTCAGCCTCCCAAGTAGCTGGGGTTACAGGCATGCACCACCATGCCCGGCTAATTTTGTATTTTTAGTAGAGACGGAATTTCTCCACGTTAGTCAGGCTGGTCTTGAACTCCTGACCTCAGGTGATCTGCCTGCATTGGCCTCCCAAAGTGCTGGGATTACAGGCTTGAGCTACCATGCCCAGCCCTATTTGTTTGTTTTTGAGCTGAAATTGCTATACTTGAGCTAAGTCTTCAAAAAGGAATAGGAGTTTACCTGGTGAACAGGATGGGAAGAAATTCTGACTGAGAGGTAGCCTATGAAAAAGCACTGGAATATGATATAGGAGGGTATATTTAGAGAAGAGAATGTAATTTGGTGTATTAGAGATGCCAGTCATTTCTCCTATCCGCTCCTTAGCAACCTGCCCTTCCCAAAGTCAATACGTAATGGATACCCTACATATGGAATGGCCCTGTACACTTGGCCACAAGATCAGAAATGGGGCCTTGACTAGATAGAGATAATGAGGTTTTTTTTTTTTTTTTTTTTTGAGACAGAGTTTCACTGTGTCACCTAGGCTGGAATGCAGTGGTGCAATCTCGGCTCACTGCAAACCCCACCTCCCGGGTTCAAGTGATTCTCCTGGCTCAGCCTCCGAATAGCTGGGACTACAGGCATGTGCCACCATGCCCGGCTAATTTTTTGTATTTTTAGTACAGACAGGGTTTCACCATATTAGCCAGGATGGTCTCTATCTCCTGACCTCGTGATCCACCCACCTCGGCCAAGATTTTTATCTTTCAGGGATAAACTGTATAGACTTTCATTATTGTTAATGGTATACAATGTAATTTCAGTCAGTCCTCCTACTGAATACAGCTCATCAAGCTGGATGAAAAACAAAATACATCCTCTAAAAGTATATCAGAACTAGCAAAGTAGTGAGGAATTAACTGGACCAAGATTTTGGATTGGTCAGGAATTGGGAGTGAGGAGCCTAGCACTCATGATGCTTTGTCTGAGGCATTTGCTGATGCAGAACAAGTAATTAGAAAGCTAAGATGTATTTTTGGCAGCCTTAAGAGCCCATGGGGACAAAAGTTGGAGTCTAGGACTAATAAAGGGTGGCAACTCTTCTATATCACCCTTGGACATGGCCTAGGACTTTAAAATCCTGCCTTGTAGGTATAAGGGAGCACAAGTAAAGTAACTCTTATATAGACTGTAGACTGACTTCAAATCGTCTAAGGGGTCCAGAAAAATCTCGCAGCCTGAACTTATATTAGGTTTGCCCCTAATTGCTAGTGGCAAGAGTAAAACCAAAATCCACTTTGAAGGAAAAATAACATCATCCTAGGCCTCAAATTGTTTCTGTAATTTTCTTTCCCGCCCTTCCACCCTCCATTTCTTCCTTCCTTCCTTCCCTTCTTTCTTTTTTGTTTGTTTTTGAGACATAGTCATTCAGGCTGGTGCACAGTGGCACAATCTCAGCTTACTGCAATCTTTGCCTCCTGCGTTCAAATGATTCTCCTGCCTCAGCTTCCCGAGTATCTGGGATTACAGGCATGTGCACCACACCCGGCTAGTTTTTGTATTTTTAGTAGAGTTGGAGTGTCACTATGTTGGTCAGGATGGTCTCGAACTCCTGGCCTCAAGTGATCTGCCCACCTTGGCCTCCCAAAGTGCTAAGATTACAGAAGCAGGCCACTGTGGCTGGCCTATAATTTTCTTTCAAAAACAATGTTTAGTGCAAGGATGACCAGGTTTCTAGGAACGAGGATCAAAATAGCTTTTAAAAAAAAAAGACAACCAGGAACACAAGGAGACAAGATACCAGTAATAAGCAGGAGAAATAACAGATAATAGAAACAGACCTACAGGGATTCTATATTTTGCAATGACTAGATACAGACTATAAACAACTCTGTGTACTATGTTCAAGATCAAAGCCAAACTTAAAAGATTTGGCAGAGAACTGGAATTATAAAAACTGAAATTAAAAAGGAATATATTGGCCAGGCACTGTGCTTATGCCTATAATCCCAGCACTTTGGGAGGCTGAGCAGGTGGATTATCTGGGGTCAGGAGTTCAAGACAAGCCTGGCCAACATAGAGAAACCCCATCTCTACTAAAAATACAAAAAATTAGCCAGGCATGGTGGCAGGTGCCTGTAATCCTAGCTACTTGGAAGGCTGAGACGGGAGAATTGCTTGAACCTGGGAGGAAGGGGTTGCAGTAAGCCAAGATCACACCATGGCACTTCAGCCTGGGGAACAAGAGTGAAACTCCCTCTCAAAAAATAAAAATAAAAGGCAATATATTAATAGTGGATTTATAAGTGAACAAAATAGAATCTCTAGCTTGAGACAGTAGTGAGCACTAAAATGTAAAGATCAAAGAGAATCAGCCTGCTGGAATTGTTGGTCCATCTACAAGTTCAGGAAAAAATACAAAAAGAAACAGATTAAAATGCATGTGACCCCAGGGAGAGAAAGATGGAGAGAGAGTAGGTACTTCACTGCTTTCCAGTTCAGCCTCTTCCCACTACAAAGGATGCCACAAAAAACTGGGCACAGTGACTCACACCTGTAATCCCAACACTTTGGAAGTCTGAGACAGGAGGGATTGCTTGAGGCCAGCAGCGAGACCAGCCTAGGCAACAGAGCAAGACCCTGTCTCTTAAAAAAAAAAAAAAAAAAAAAAAAAAAAAAAAAATGAAAAAAAAAATTAAAAAAAAAAAAAAAAAAATGCTACAGTGAGCTATGATGGTGCCACTGCCCTCCAGCTTGGGCAACAGAATGAGACCCTGTCTCAGAAAAGAAAAAAAAAATGCCACAATAAATATATTTGTATGCATATTCTTATGTATTGATGTTTTAAATTTTGCCTACCCTTCCTCCCTTGATGTTTTTATATCTATAGAAAATATTCCCAAAAGTGAAATTGCTGCATTAAAATTATGTGTTACATTTTTAAAGATATTGTCACAATACTTTCCAGAAGGAGATAGCAATTTTTATTTCCCCCAGCAATGTGTGAGAATTCTCATCTCCCCACATTTTTTTCTAGTACTGAATGATTTGATCACCCAAATAATTTAAAATGGTATCTTTAAGTCTGTTCTGCATAAAGACAGATGTGACCAATGGAATAGAATAGAGAAACCAAAAATAATCTCTCAAATATATGATTAAATTATTTTCAACAAGAGTATCAAGATTATTTAATGGAGCTGGGCACAGTGGCTTGTGCCTATAATCCCAGCACTTTGGGAAGCTGAGCCTAGGAGTTCAAGACCAAACATGATGAGACCTCATCTCTAGAAAAAATTACAAAAATTAGCTGGGCATGGTGGCACATGTCCTGTGGTCTCAGCTATTCAAGAGGCTGAGATGGGAGAATCTCTTGAGCCTGGTTGAGGCTGCGGTGAGCCATAATCATGCCACTACACTCCAGCCTGGGCAACAGAGGGAGACACTTGCCAAAAAAAAAAAAAAAAATCATTTACTGTGGGAAAGAACAGTCTTTTAAACAAATGGTATTGAGAAAATTGGATATCCATATGCAAAATACTTTACATCGAATACAAAATTAACTCAAAATGGATCAAAGATCTAGTGTCATAGTTAAAATTAGAAAATTCTCAGAAGAAAACATAGGAGAAAAGCTTCGTGACATTGTATTTGGCAATGATTTCTTGAATTTGACACCAAAAGCACAGACAACAAAAGAAAAAAATAGATAAATTGAGGATTGGGGCATGGGGCTCATGCCTATAATCTCAGTGCTTTGGGAAGCCAAGGCAGAAGGATCACTGAGGCCAGAAGTTTGAGACCACTTCGACAAAGTAGCCAGATCCCATCTCTGAGCGTGCCTGCAGTTCTAGCTACTTGAGAGGCTGAGGAGGGAAGATCGCTTGTATGCAGGAGTTCAAGGTTACAATTAGCTATGATTGCACCACTGTACCACCTGGGCAACAGAATGAGACCCTGTCTGTAAATAAATTTTTAAAAAGGAAAATTAAAAAAAAGATAAATTTGACTACATTAAAATTTAAAACTTGTGTGCATCAAAGAATACTTGTCAACAGAGTAAAAAGGCAACCCACAGTATGGGAGAAAATATTTATATACCTGTATCCTATATCTGATAAAAGATTGATATTCAGAATGCATGATGAACTCCTACAACTCAACTGACCAAAAAAGAAACACAACGAAGAAAAACAGGATAAAGGATTTGAATAGATATTTCTCCAAAGAAGCTATACAGACGGTCAGTAAGATGCATCAATGATGCTCAACATCAGTAAATGTTAGAGAAATGCAAATCAAAACCACAATGAGATATCACTTCACCTCCACTAGTACGGC